TAGCGTGAATATTTTGATTTTGTTTTCTTACATATCAAATAATCAATCTGATAACATATTAGCGTGTGTTAAGCCATGATAAATTAGAGAGTTGATCATTGGCTTGCCATGTGAATAAATACCTTAATAATTTACATGTACATGTATATAACATTTGAAGCTATATATAGAAAAAATACCTGCAATAGTCAGGTGTAGCTCTTACATAACTCTTCTTAAAGAACATGCGTCATAATTATATAAATTGCATGGTTGGAAAATCGACACATATTTTGACTCGTTCAACACCTTTGTGAATTGTGAAGCATGGCGGTGTAATTACATCCAATATAATTATTGTTTGGTGAATACCACGTAACAGTACAAGAGTGTTGATATGTACGAGAACAGTCCTATATAAGAGTAACTTCATTTAAAGGGGTGGTTTCAGAAATACTTTTGAAATAAAACGGGCACATATGAGGTAATGAAAAACAAAGCAAACTCTCGCAAAAGTTTATCCTGGTCCGATGCAACTATCCGAAGGTGTGTGACATTTTGTGACGTAGTTGAGGGTGGCGGGAGTTATTATAGGTTGAATAAAAAACAAAACAAAACAAAAACAAAACAAAACAAATAAAACAAAAAGAAAAGAAAAAAGGCAGGAAGTATTTTAATCTGATTAAAACACAGAACCTATTTCATTTCGATTTTTAAAGTTCAAAATTTCGTTTTGCTTGTTTTTACTAAACTAGCATCTGAAAGAGTTGTTATATAACCCGCGTTCGGACTGATGAAACTGTCTGTTTCTGCGAGTTCTTGGCGTGCTGTGCACGGAACTGTGGGTAAACCACTAGAAACATCAACGCTGATTGATTAATCAATATCGGACGTCATAGTCTCAAAAGCCGCTCGTATGAACCCTGACGCGACCACCCACTAAAACCGGCCAGATCTTCATGTAGTAGAGGCCATCGAAAGTATATATATAATAAAAAAACGAAACGAAATATAGATCTGTATTTTAATCAGATTGGAAGTATTTTTAGGTATATTCTTGGCGAGTAACACAAGAATCTCTTACTCAATCCGAATTGTGCCCCCTCCCCCACCCCAAGGATGGAAGCCTTGGACAACTGTCCCACCGTGCCCCCTCCCCTTAGATCTGGAACTAGCAATACACTACAAATAAATGAAAAATAATTAACACCTACATGTAAATGCCAAAGTTTGACTATTCGAACTAGAGATTTCCGGATGTTGGGATTTATGACTTCGATCCTCCAGGGAAGGGAACCCAATCATTTCATAATGAGTTAAAGATATACGCACCTGCTTCCATTGAATTATAATGTTCAATTTCAGTCTCATCCATCCGTTCGCCCATTGTAAGATATATACGCACCTATTTCCGACAATAACAATCACCATGACAATAACTAATTAATAATAAATGTCAATATCACTGAGGAAGGTGTTTATATTTATGTACTGTATCTAATATATTTCACTGATTTATGTGATAAATAGTGTCAGAAACAGGGAAATATTTATTTCAACGTTTGTATTATGTATATTAAATTTGAACCCGATAGGGATATGTCAATTTTATTAATAAACAGATTGCATGCATATTTCATTTCTAAAATTATCTTATTCAAGAGCTAAATTGCAGTTCTTTCTTTAGGCCTTAAATGTTATATTAATTATTTATTAGACATTTATTAATAGGCAAGACCATAATCAACTCTTGATGCCATCGGAATTTAAGTACATATTATAGCGGCTCGGCCCGACTCCGAAATTAAGAAGATTATAGCGAATCGGCCATTAAAAATGGAGAAGCCAGGCTAAGTCTCGTCAAAACATCTTGTCAAAACTACAAAAGAGTGATGACTTCGTGCAGAATAAAGTAATTTGAATGACATTTTCCATATATTCATTTTGCATTATCTATTTTTGAACTATTATAGCAAGAACCAATAGCCCTTTATCTAAATCTTACATAATGCATCTTTAATATAACTATTATAGCAAGAACACCCAGCTCTTTATCTAAATCTTACATAATGCATCTTTAATTATGTGTTAAAGATGCATCCCCGTGATTGTAGTTATCAAATAGTTGTTTCCAGTATGGAATATTTGGTATATATGATAATGATGATCTTTATTCAGTATGGAAGGACATTGACCCATAGTAAGCCTATAACCAACAAAATAACTGTACACAATATTATTGTTAGATGTGCATATAAAAAAAATATAATATCTATCAGAATCAAGATACCAATCAATGGAGGAGCTAGTATAGTTTGTCTATAAAATACGGCAGATAATTTGGTATATATGGGAAATATAGAGACATCCAATTTTATAGATAGTGAATAGTGAATTCCCCGAAAAACACCCACGAGGCGCTCACAGGACAAAAATGACCGTGTGTTCTTTGGTTGAATGACGTACGTAGGCCTAGGGAGCGCTTGGTTTTGTTGATGGAATTGCTAGCGGCTGTGAAAACAGTGAGAAACTTAAACATGCTGCAGACTTTGCGGACAAATAAAGAATTTACTTTGGTTTGCACAGCGAGTAACGTAAAAATGTACAAGCTGATCCCACCCTTTCCTTCAACAAAGCTGCTTAAAATAGAATTTTTTTAGTCTTGGGATAGTTTTCTTCCGAATAAAATGTTTTGAGAGGGATTTGAAGCAAACTTTTGATAGATAAATTAATTTGAATATGTTTTTAGTCCAAATATATATCATCAAATCACACAGTTTGTTCTTGGGAAGGCATCTTTAAAAGTTGATATTGTACTACTTGGCCTACTAGGTTTATTATAATCATATTTCCTAATTAGTATAAAATCTGTCTTTAGTAATGTAACACAATATAAATGCAGGTTTATTTGTGGTAATAATAGCACAGGAATCAATAATCCTATCAAACATTCATTATACTAGAATTGCCTCGTAAACAGTAGGCCTACCTAGCTGATAGACCTCATAGATCTAGACATTACTACTAATACCTCAAACGGTATTTTATCAGGCAAAGGACAAGAAGAGGAAAGGACAAATCCAGGGTAACGTAAGCAAAAGTAAGCTCCTTAGAATGATCTCCGAGCTACAAAATGTCTAGGACTCATGGTGCGTTAGTAGGCCTACTAAATGAATTATGTTTGCAGTCTGCACAGGGCAATCTAAAAATTTACGTCTGGGCGTCCATGTCAAATTTAAGGGGAGGTAAGTAGGCCTATTCTAGCAACAGGATGTTCATAACGTAATTTTGTTTGCGACGGTTATTTAACGATTGTTTGCTTTTTAAATTGTTATGTGTGTTGCTCAGTAAGCTCGACCAACGGTATTCATTTTATTTTAATTTTAGTAATTGTTGTATGATCGATCAAATCGCCTGGTGGAAGCCATTTGAATGCCACAATGTAAACATTTATAGCCTACCCACCCAGAGGCCAAGCTCGGCCCATCGTAATGATCGTTGACGTTATAATAATACTAGGCCTAATTCAAGACGACGGTTTGTTTTCATTCCGGTTCATCGGCGATTGCCCCAGGTCTACCTCTAAAATTGCCTGAAAGTGGACACTTTATTCTTTAAGCGAAAAATTCCACATGCATATATTATAGCATTATCCAGTTTGTGATTATTGACTCTGAGCTGGGCATCATTGGCCAACCAAGTCCAAAGACTTAGCCTACGGCTACGCGTTGAAATCTGGTTTTAATTACCGAGACCTCCCATTTAACGATGCATTATGTAAGATTTGGACAAAGGGTTGGTCGTTCTCGCTAGAATATATTATTTTTAAAAAAGGCAATGAAAAGGAATATATACCGGTACTGAAAATTCAGTTAATTATTTTATTGTGAAGTTATGAATGTTTTGATAAGAATATCAAAGTCTCGATTTTCATTGATGATACCTTTGTTACGATAATAAACAGTCTCAATTAAAAATCCATTAAAAATCACGACCATCTGATGGTCTGGAGAGTTGATTATAGTGTAGGCTTGCCCTGTGAATAAATCTAATTGATTATTTGTTTAACGTTCGAGACCAAAATCAAGACCTGCAGTAGGCAGATTTAGCTCGTGTACATTATAATGCATCTTGCAGTTTTTATTGGATTTTTATGCCCGCGTGAGATCTTGTTCCTCCATTCGGCAAACAAAGAACTATCTACTCTACCTCGCCCTGAATGGCCGTCATATCCAATAATTATAGTATACTCTTTTGTAATGCGGTTCTAGTTACCCCAGTTCACATCAGTTCTACATAAACATACTAATTAAACCTTTTCAAATTACAGCAAAATATAAATCGGATACCCCTCAAAAGTCTTGAAGTATATACTTAAACATACATTATGCAAGAGCTAAATCTGCTTATTGTAGGTCTTTCTTTGGGCCTGAAATGTTATATAAACTATTAGACATTGATTAACGTATCCAGGCCATGATCAACTCTCGATGTCAAGGCTAGCCTGCGATATTTGTTTGATTATGATCCGATTTGCTGCACAACTTTCCTTCTCGATTTAATGACTAAATGGATAATCGAGACTATGATTTTTGTCGTACCGAATTTAGTAATGATGACCGAGGCTATGCGGAACTTTCGATAGCTTATTTCTCGGTTCATAGTGGATCAATTTGACTGAAATTTTCAGCAAATTACCTTTACATTATCTAGTTTTTAACTATTATAGTAGGAACTGCCAACTCCTTATCTAATCTCCCATAATGTATCTTTAAGTAGTGTTTTCAACTAAAATCGTAGATTTAGGACGTAAAATATCTATCAACTGTTCTCATGCTGAGAGCTGTAGACAGGCAGCGTAAATTTAGTATGCTTGTGCCTCATGCAATATCAGCGTTCATCATGCCCCTGCATGTTCAGCTGAAATAAAAATGAAAGTAAACTTCATACTGCACGTCAACGCTTTTCAGCCTTGGTTTTCATTCTGCTCCATCTTTATGTACAATTTTAATCTTTTTTAGTTTAGAATTCCAAAGATGAACGGGTCACCCACAAGGGGACGCCCCTATCAAAATGGCTATCCTGCGAATGAAAGTCCAACCAAGATTGGTAGCTCTTACAGTAATGGACATGTTTCACCCACACAAAATGGATCACCGACAAAATCTCCTGTTAGATCTCGATCGACGTCACCCAGCAAGCGAACAAGTCCTATTCAGGTTGCCCCGGTATCAGCTGTCGATGAGGAACAACAGAAACCAGGAATTTTACAAAGATTCAGCAATGCCATCATTAGCACGATGGAAACATTTTTCTACAAGTAAGTAAGATTAAAGTAGCTTCACCTTCAACTCAGTTCCCCGGGATGAATGGTTCGCGCGTGCGCATTGTATCATAAGGTCTGTCATTGAGTCAACTGGCGTGGTTTCGATTCCCCGGTTGTACGTGACAAGAAGTATGGTCGCCTGTCCAACCTCGTGGGTTTTCTCAGTCTCCTAGTCCTCCGGTTTCCTCCCACAGCTAAAGACCCCTACGCGCAAGCGAATTATTGAAATAAAATTGAACCATATGTTAGTTCCGAAATGACCTAGTTTGTGTTGAGTGGATGTTAAATCCCATGTCTCTATATTAAACTGCAGTACGCGAGTCTGCCAGCTTTCTCATTTGTGTTTATGAAAATGTTGAACTAGTTTGATTCCCCGCTTGTACACAACAAGTAGGGTCGTTTGTCAAACCTCGTGGGTTTTCTCCCACAGCTAAAGACCCCAATGCACAAGCGAACTATAGAAACAAAATTGAACCATGTTAGTCCCAAAATGCCCTGGTTTGTGTCGATTGGATGTTAAACCTGAGCTCTCTCTCTCTCTCTCTCTCTCTCTCTCTCTCTCTCTCTATCTCTCTCTCTCTCTGATTTTACATGTATTTATATAATATTGTATAAATTTCAGATTAGGTAAAAGTATTGGCACCCATCCTATTAAATATATAATAGTTTGTTTTGTGGTTACGGCCATCTGTGGACTCTGTGTCGGATTTCTGTTCACGGAAACGACTGAGACAAATAAACTTTGGTCAGCCAGTGATTCTGAGGTCATCAAAAACTTGGAGCAGGTGGAACAATGGTTTCCGAGCACCACGAGATTTGCTACTTTGATGGTCACAGAGAATAATATTTTAACACCTCAAGTTTTACAGAAGGTAAGATTAACAAGTTAAAATTTGCTTTAATCAAACCAAACAACCACGCAATATACTGCTAGTACCACAAGGCGTCGAATTGCCACTCGCGTTATCCCCCTCGCCTTTTTCTCTTCCCCCCTCTTCCTTCCTCGTCTTCTCGTCCTTTGAAAGTTAGTTTGTCACCGGGATCAACCGATCACGGTCGGAATCAGCCGCATACGACCGCAACTTGAGGAGGCCAGCTGGAAACCAAGGAGATGTTCTTGGCATAAACAAACTTCTTTTATTACAATATATTACCATATTTTTTCGATATTTCTGGAATGGCGATAATGTTACTACTGGTGCAATATATCATTCTGGTGTTATTAGATCCAGACTCGTGTCCAGACCATCTCTGTTAAACATACATTATGCAAGAGCCAAATCTGCCTATTTCATGTCTTTCTTTAGGCCTGAAATGTTATCTAAATTATTAATTAGACATTAATTAACTTATCCAAAAGATACTCAACCCTCGATGTCATCGTTAGCCTGCGATATTTATTGGATTAGGATCCGATTTGCTGTTCAACTTTCATTCATGATTTAATCATAAAATGGATAATCGAGACAATTTTTTTTATCGTACCGACTTTAGTAATGATGACAGAGGCTAGGCCGAAAATTTAATCGCTAAATTCTCGGTTCAGAGTGGATCAAGTTGACTGAAATTTTCAGCAAATTCCCTATACATTATCACGTTTTTAACTATAGTGAGAACTGCCAGCTCTTTATCTAATCTCCTATAATGTATCTTTAAGTTAGTCGGTTTTCTCCCACTGCTAAAGACCCCAGTATATAATTCAGATATAGATAGACCATATATTCAGGCTTGTGAATATTGGTTTATAAACTAATATACAATATTCGATATTAGACGATATTAATATAAGGTAATATTTTTATTTTTCAGATGTTTACATATTATAATAAATCAATAAATATAGAAACCAGTGATGGATACAAATTGATGAATGTATGTGTCACGTAAGTATTAATAGCTACATTCATCCACTAAAAGTCCGGGGCGGGGGGCGAATGGTTAGCACTTGCGCGTTATATCATAAGGCCCGCCATTGTATCAACTGGTTTCGATTCCCTGGTGTACGTGACAAGGAGTGGGGTCGCCTGTCCAACCTCGTGGGTTTTCTCCGGTTACTCTATGTATCAGAGCACAGATTCCCAACTAGAATGTCCGGATTTGGTATCTTGCTGTGGTGCTGCCAAGTCGTTTGGATTGGATAAAAACGAATAAAACGAATCGCAAATAGTGAGAGAAATAAGGTTTAACGTCCACTCAACACAAACTAGGTCATTTTGGGACTGACACTTCATTTTTTTTTCAATAATTCGTTTGCGCGCAGGTGTTTTTAGCAATGGAAGGAACCCAGAGGACCCGGAGAAAACTCAGGATGCAGGGAACCCTTCTCCCTGTCACGTGCAAGCGGAGAATCTAAACCGTTCCACTTGACTCAAACGAATCACACATAAATAAATCCTTGACAGTTTGAATTCTATGAAGAGTAAAGTGGCAGCATTGCACCTGCAACCATAGAAACAAAAACATCCACATGTTAGTCCCGGAATGATCGATGTATTGTTACCCCCCCCCCCCCCCCCCCCTTTCTCTTTTTTGAAATAGAAATAATAGAAATAAGTACTGATAGAAATAAATTAGTGATTGATTAATTGAAAATTGAATTTTTTCTATTTTTTTTTAGAGCGGGACCAAACTGTCTGGTAAACAGTATATTAGAACTATGGAGTTATAATGAAGCCACCATATTTGGTTTGTCACAACAGGATATCCTAGATACCATTAATACTGTTACAGTTAGGTAGGTTGACCTTTATCACGTGATATCCTAGATACCATTAGGTAGGTTGACCTTTATCACGTGATATCCTAGACACCATTAGATTGGTTGATCTTCATCACGCGCGCGATATCCTAGATACCATTAGGTGGGTTGACCTTTATCACGTGATATCCTAGATACCATTAGGTTGGTTGAACTTTATCACGTGATATCCTAGATACCATTGGGTAGGTTGACGTTTATCACGTGATATCCCAGATACCATTAGCTAGGTTGACCTTTATCACGCGCGCGATATCCTAGATACCATTAGGTGGGTTGACCTTTATCACGTGATATCCTAGATACCATTAGGTTGGTTGAACTTTATCACGTGATATCCTAGATACCATTAGGTAGGTTGACCTTTATCACGCGCGCGATATCCCAGATACCATTAGGTAGGTTGACCTTTATCACGCGATATCCTAGATACCATTAATATTGTTACAGTTAGGTAGGTTGACCATTATCACGTGATATCCAAGACACCATTCATTAACTAATAGATTTAGCCGTGAGGCATGATCTCAATGTCCGCTCATTAAAGAAAACATGTTTTAATAACCAATAACTGTTTTCGTGAAATGTAGCTAAAAGCCTTGTAAAATTAATTAAACGGTATGCATCTGTTTGACATCGAGATACTACAAACGGCCAAACCTGTTTGGTGGGGTGGGGGTGAGGGATGCCGAACGGTTAACGCGTGCGCGTTGGATTATATTGATTATAAGGTCTGTCATTGCGTCAAGTGGCGTGGTTTCTATTCCCCGCTTGTACGTGACAAGGAGTAGGGTCGCCTGTCCAACCTCGTGTTTTTTTCGCAGGTTCCTTCGGTTTCCTCCTACTGCTAAAGGCCAGTACCGAAATGACCTAGTTTGTGTTGAGTGGACGTTAACGATCCCTACGCGCAAGCGGATTATTGAAATAAAATAGTCCCGAAATGACATAGTTTGTTTCGAATGGATCTCTCTCTCTCTCTAAATATATTTTTTGTTTGTATTTCAGTCCAATGTATTTAAATGCCTATGATGTAACAACAGCATTAGCTGAGATAAAGAGAAACAGTACAGGCAGTATTATAAAATCAACCTCAACTAAAATAACATATTTATTACAAGGTTCCGATTCGGTAAGTTCTTCTCTCTAATTCATTCTCCATTAGGCAAAACCTAAAAAAGTGTTTGGTTTTAATGTCGTGCTGGCCCATTCTTGATCAATTGATAGTACCCCACCACCAGAAATGTCTGTCAGAGTGTTTTCGTAATACCTGAAGGTGTACGGTACACTGCTGTACGATTTTCATGTGGTAAACTTTTAAGCTAATCTAGCATAGTTGGGGGGGGGGGGGGGAAACTGGGCATTTTGGGCGTGGAATACTATACCCATCACCAGATACCCGACAGACTTACATTCTGACGATAGCAGATATACATACATTGATACGATATAGGAGAAAATTGGTACACATTTCAGCTAGGTTGGTACCCTGGGTTCCTGGTCTCTATATATATATACATATAGTAGGCAGTTATATATATTAAATAGTTATTCATACCATATTATTCGTTCCAGATGAAAGACAAATCGATGGCGTGGGAAGCTAAATTTATAGAACTATCCCAAAGTGAGAAAGGATTATCTTCAGTCTATTTCTTTGCTACGAGAAGGTAGGTACCCTTATCTTTGGCGATTTTCGGGTGTTTCCTTTAAAAAAGACTAAACACCAATATAATCAAAAACGTGAGACAAAAAATTATAAATTACAACATAGGCTACACCATGTGTGATCTCGATATTCGTGAAAGCGGTTGGTCGTTAAATATCATAAAACCAATTAACAAGGCTAGTGAGTAAGCGTCTTACCAATTGGCCACCGTGGCTCCCAATCTAATAAAAGTTTGTGTATTTTGTTTTATTATAGTTTTGGAGATGAAGGTGGTGGTGCTATAACAGGCGATGTTTCTCTACTATCAGCAGGATATTTTGTACTAATTATTTATGTAGCTGTTGTACTGGGCAGATTTAATCAAGTAGAACAGGGTGTAAGTCTATCAATATAATATATGCAGTATTAAAGTAGCTAACTCTCTAACTGAATATCAGCTAAAGTCTTCGATATTGAAATCTCGAATTATTTGTCAATTAAAATCAACATTGATGTTGTGATCTTACTGGGAAAAGGTGGGTTTTTGATATCCAATATTTAAGATAAAATAACCATTTTACAATTGGTACACGAATCGTGTACCATAATACTAGGTTTCAGCGCCAATTGTTACAAGGGACTCGAAGAAGAAGGCTAGAAATATTCGATACTATCGGTGTAGGCTGGAATAACCAGCTAGAGATTGCCATTCGATTGATACTTTTGGCATATTTCGCCGAACATAGCTGATTTGAAATTAGAGTAAAACGGATACGATTGAATGTAAATCAGTTTATATATATTCAGATTACATTATTATATGTGTTGCGACCCATTTGTGCCAATTCCTAGTTTATGAATTGATGTATATTAGATGAAATGAAATGGGGTTTAAACGTCATACTGTTTTGCACCGACTGGGATAATGAAGACGGGCATACGCCATGCAGTGTGCTATGAGTGAAATTTTGTCTGGACACCGGCGCTACAGCCTACTCTTATATCTAATTCCAGCTCCCAAGGGAACGACTGTACATTGTCGCTAGCACCGAGGTCACGTGTTCACATTGACGTGCACGTAAAAGACTCCTGAATTCGATGTAAGAGTAGGCCGTTGCGCCGATGCCCGGGCACAATTTCCCTCATAGCACACTGTGTGGCGTATGTCCGTCTTCATTATAGTGCAGTCGGGGCAGAACAGTAGGACGTTAAACCCCATTTATTTCTAGAGCTCCATTACAATATGTTGCCAGGGGGGTTGGATAGCCGAATGGTTAGCACGTGCGCGCTGTATCATAAGGCCTGTCATTGAGTCAACTGGCGTGGTTTCGAATCCCCGGTTGTACGTGACAAGGAGTAGGGTCGCCTGTCCAACCTTTTGGTTTCCTCCGGTTTCCTCCCACTGCTAAAGACCTATACGCGCAAGCGAATTATTGAAATAAAATTAAACCATATGTTAGTCCCGAAATGACCTAGTTTGTGTCAAGTGGACCATAAACCCCATTTCTCTCTCTCTCACAATATGTCGCCACACCACGTAAGAAATATTATCCATAAATCCTACTTCTACTATATCTTTTAATGGAAAACGATTTTCTCTTTCATGATTTACCTAGCTTTTTCAGATTTGTTCATTTCTTGTGTTTCCAGAGGAACAAATTTGACCGGAGCGCCATTACAAAATCTGACCACTGTAGTCACGACCATCTCACCACATCAGTATATCCTGCTGTTAGATATGATTTAAACATACATCATGCAAGAGACTATGTTTTTTTATCGTACCAACTTTAGTAATGATGATCGAGGCAAGGCCCAAAATTCAATCACCAAATTCTCGGTTCAAAGTGGATCAATTTTCTCTTTACGTTATCTAGTTTTTAACTATTATAGTGAGAACTACCAGCGCTGTATCTAATCTCCCATAATGTATCTTTAAAGGAAACTATTTTCTATTTTTAGATTTACCTGGCTTTGTCTGGTATATTATGTGTTGGGATGTCTATTTGTGTATCATTCGGTTTATCATCGGCATGTGGATTAGAATACGGTCCTCTACATTCTATTCTACCATTTCTACTGTTAGGTAAGCATGATCTACTTTCAATTTGTGGTCACTTTCTGGCGTTATCAGGTAAGCCTGATCCACTTTCAATTTGTGTTCACTTTCTGGCGTTGTCAGGTAAGCCTGATCTACTTTCAATTTGTGTTCATTATCCTACTGCCTATAATGTTCCATTAAGCCCTTATCCTACCGCCTGTAATGTTCCGCTAAGCCCTTATCCTATTGCCTGTAGAGTTCCGCTAAGCCCTTATCCTACTGCCTGTAATGTTCCGCTAAGCCCTTATCCTACTGCCAGTAATGTTCCATTAAGCCCTTATCCTACTGCCTGTAATGTTCCATTAAGCCCTTAACCTACTGCCTGTAATGTTCCGTTAAGCGCTTATCCTACCGCCTGTAATGTTCCGCTAAGCCCTTATCCTACTGCCTGTAAAGTTCCGCTAAGCCCTTATCCTACTGCCTGTAATTTTCCATTAACCCCTTATCCTACTGCCTGTAATGTTCCATTATTAAGACCTAACATACTGCCCTTGGGCCCTTACCCTACTGCCTGTAATGTTCTGTTAGGCCCTTATACCACTGCCTGTAATGTTCCATTAATGCTAATTTGTGTTCACTTTCTGGCGTTGTCAGGTAAGCCTGATCTACTTTCAATTTGTGTTCATTATCCTACTGCCTATAATGTTCCGTTAAGCCCTTATCCTACTGCCTGTAATGTTCCATTAAGCCCTTAACCTACTGCCTGTAATGTTCCGTTAAGCGCTTATCCTACCGCCTGTAATGTTCCGCTAAGCCCTTATCCTACTGCCTGTAAAGTTCCGCTAAGCCCTTATCCTACTGCCTGTAATTTTCCATTAACCCCTTATCCAACTGCCTGTAATGTTCCATTAAGACCTAACATACTGCCCTTGGGCCCTTACCCTACTGCCTGTAATGTTCTGTTAGGCCCTTATACCACTGCCTGTAATGTTCCATTAATGCTAATAACAGATTTATATAGCGCAAGATTACATTAGGCCTCACCCTACTGCCTGTAATGTTCCGTTAGGCCCTTATACCATTGCCTGTAATGTTCTGTTAAGCCCTTATACCACTGCCTGTAATGTTCCGTTGGGCCCTTTTTCTGCTCAGAACTATTGCCTGTAATGTGCCGTTATGTTATGCCCTTATCCTACTATTCCGTTATGCCCTTATCCTACTGCTTACCTATTTTTTCGTTTGTTTTAAATAAGTTTGTATTTACAGGTATTGGTGTAGACGACATGTTTGTTATAATCGGAGCCTTAAACAATTTAAACCCAGATGAGATAGAACTAGAAATACCTGAAAAGATTGGCCATGTTTTAAAACATGCCGGATTATCTGTGACCGTTACGTCAATAACAGATGTTGTCGCTTTTGGTATTGGTGCCACTACGGTAAGTGTGAACTGGGTAGCTCGCATGCTAGTCTGGAGGTCGCATGTTCGATCCATGCATTGGCAGAGAAAGTTCATTTGGATTTTCCAACGTGGTTTCCCCTTGCCATTGGTGCAGGACCGAAGGCCTGACAAGGTCTCATGTACACATTGTCGTGCACGTAAAAGATCCTTTGGTAGTTGGAATAGAATATAAAGAGTAAGCCATAGTGCTGCTGCCCTGGAAAAACTTCCCTCATAGCACACTGTATGGCGTATGTCCGTCTTCATTATCCCAGTCGGAGCAGAACAGTTCGACGTTAAACCCCACTTTTCCGGACCAAATGGGCTAATGAAGACTGGAATATACCATGCTTTTCTTTGCCTGACCATCCGCCCTGCACCACTGATGTGCGCCTACCCTGATGATTTTCAGCAAATTCCCATTACATTATCTAGTTTTTAACTATTATAGTGAGAACTGTCAGCTCTTTATCTAATTTCCCATAATGTATTTTTAAAATATATTAGTTTAAGTGTCGTGAATTACACCCCATGTTGGGGACACCATAAATTTTTCCATGCTGAGCTCTCTTAAAGGTCCTAATCCGACCCAAGTCATTTTATATAATTTATTTCCTCTTTTTTCAGGTATTGCCGGCATTGAAATCGTTCTGTGGATTTGCTGCTATTGGTATACTGGGGTTATTCTTCTTCCAGACTATTTTCTTCACAGCTACTTTAGCCTTAGATCAGCGACGACGAGGACAAGATCGTAACGCTTGTTGTTGTTGCTATGTACATAAAGATTACACGCCCAACAAATGTAGTCAGAAGGAAATCCTTATTTTGTTCTTTAAAAAGTTCTACGCTCCCTTTATTCTCAAGCTACCAGTCAAGGTTATTATTTTAATATTTTCGATATCATTTTTTAGGTTCAAACATTTAACCTTCTTGGCCCTTTATTCCCAAACTGATGCAGGATGGGGGGCCTGGCAGGGACAGCTTTCTAGTCGTTCGGATGGGACGAAAACCGAGGTCCTGTGTACATATTGGCGTGCAGTGATGCAGGACGGAGGGCATGACAAGGACAGCTGTCTAGTCCTTCGGATAAAACAAAAAACCGATGTCCCGTGCACACATTAGCGTGCACGTAAAAGATCCCTTGACAGTTGGAATTCGGTATAAGAGTAGGCCATAGTGCCGCTGTCCTGACAAAATTTCCCTCATAGCACACTGTATAGCGTATGGCCGTCTGCATAAGCCCAGTTAAGCCCAGTTCGGAGCAAAACAGGAGGACGTTAAACCCCATTTTATTTCATTTCATTTCAGTTGGAATTCGATATAAGAGTAGGCCGTAGTGCCGCTGTCCGGGCAAAATTTCCCTCATAGCACACTATATGGCGTATGCTCATCTTCTTCGTTAGCCCAGTTCGGAGCAGAACAGTAGGACGTTAAACCCCGTGCCTGTATGGTTTATCGCCCCCTTGTTGTACGAAATATCACCTTTTTAGCTTGTAAAACGCAAAATGTGAAATGTATACATAGTTTGTATTGATATATTTTTTTTTTTAAAACAATATATCATTATATTTTTTTCAGATTGTTTTATTTATTTTAACATTGGCTATATTTGGTGTGAATGTATATGGTGTGGTCAGTCTAAAACAAGAATTTGATTCTAATTGGTTTCTACCTACCGATTCATACGCCTCGGAATATGTTGTTAATTCTGAAAAGTATTTTCCTGGTGATGGAAAGGCTGGATCTATCTACTGCGGTAAGGTTCTCTTTATCTTTAGAAATGAAATGAAATGAGGTTTAACTTTTAACGCATACGTCATACAGTGTGCTACGAGGGAAATTTTACCCGGGCGGCGACACTACGACCTACTCTTATATCGAAGTCCAAGTGTCTTTTATGTGCACGCCAATGTGTACATGGAACTTTGTTTTTTTTTGTCCCATCCCAACAACTTTACGTTGTCTTTTGCCAAGCCCTCCGTCCATTACCACCCACAGGATGGAACCACCTCGGTCAACATCTGATCGAACTTATGACCTCCAGATCAGCGAGCCAATGTCTCACCCACTGAACCACCATGGCTCCTTCAAATTAAAACAAAATGTGCAATTGATGTCTTTGTTTTTTCAGGTAATATTGACTATTTTGGAAGTAAAAGTAAATTTGATCAAATGTACACCAACATTAAAGAGAGTCAGTATTATTCTAATGGTACCTTAGATAGTTGGTTTAAGTCTATGACAGATTTCCTGCTTGTTACATCAGATGCTGCTTATACGGCTAAATTAGATGCAAGTAAGTCATATAATTTTTCTAAATTATATGCACGTTAGTAATATAACTTTCCTATGCAAGAGCTAAATCTGCCTACTGCAGGTATTTCTTTAGGCCTGAAATGTTTTCTAAATTATTACTTAGACATTAATTAACTGATCCAGGCCATAATAAACTCTCAATGGCATCGGATTTCTCCAATATTAAATAGATTAGACCAGTTCAGCCATATTTTGATTTAAGCTAAAAATGGAGGAGCGAGACTTAGCTTCGAACAACCAGTACGGTGGTTGAAATTATTGCACACACCTTGTCAAACCTTCAAAGGCTAATAATTTCGCTTACAATGGAGTTATTTAAATGAAATTTTCAAATTATTCATTTTACATTATCTATTTTCGAACAATTATAGCAAAAATAGGTAGCTCTTTATCTAAATCTTACATAATGTATCTTTAAATGCAAAATTTCAATGAGAGAGATCAAAGAAATTTACCGTTATAGGTGTGTAAGAAATATTATAAGGCTTTAAGAAATATTCTTAGTCTACAGTTCCTAAGATATAATAAGACACGACAGAAACTGATTCTAACAAATTGTTTATTTCCAGATAAATATCCTGTAGATGAACAGGCGTTTATAGACCTGACACACAGATATGTTACAGTTGATCATAAACGATATGTTCGCTTGTTTTCATTTGCTAACAGTTCAGGTGGAGATATTTTGGTAAGTTTCTAAACATCTTTATAATTACACCACTTAAAGTTTTCCCCGTTCGTTATTGTCCCACAGTTTCAAAACACCAGTCAAAGATTTCCCCGTTCGTTATTATTCCACAGTTTCAGAATATCTTATGTAATTTCCCCAGTCAAAGATTTTCCCCGTTTGTCGGATTTAAAATTTTATCTACTTCCTCATTGACGTGCTTCCGTAAGTCAGTTTTATTATCCCAAATTCACCGAACGAAGTTAAGCTATCGTTAAAGGAGGGATATTGAAATCGGATCCGTCCCGCGCTTCTTTTGTTTCCAGGGCATATTTCATAAACAGTTCAAGATATCTTTATGAAACTTTGTACACATATGAACATATAATAGTACTTGTGCCCTATGCTGCCTGAAAAACTTTCAGGTTTGATTATGTGTGTGTTTCCATGGAAACAAACTTTATTTCGTTTTTGGTATACATTTTATCCAGAACATATTTCAAGGTATATTCATCACACTTTGCACACAGTCACACACATCAACCTTTTTCCTACTTAAATTTTTCTCGAATTTAATGATTTGTGTGTTTCCATGGAAACAGATTTGACTTAGTTTTGTTATTCAAAAGCTGGGGATGTGGTTGACCAAATCTTCTTGCTCCATTTTAATATTGAACATTATGGGGGGGGGGGATTTAAATGGACTACATGGTCAGATATTGTCGTTAATATAATTTTTATGAAATTTGTTGATTTTTTTACAGGCGAGTCAGATAACTTTCAAATTTAAGAATTTACCGGATTCGAAGACAGAAATAGCAGCAATGGATGCTTTCCGTAAAATAGTCACAGATGCTGGTTTTTCAGAACAGTGTTTTGTTTATTCTAGATCTTTCCTTAACTGGGAAACAAACAAGGTAAAACAAAAACAAAAAGACCCAGATTAATCAATGGCTTTAATTATTGAAACCATTAATAAACTGAGAAGCAGTGTACATATCAATCTGATTAAAACACAGATCCTATTTCGTTTCTTTTTTTATAGTTCAAAATTTGGTTTTTCTTGTCTTCACTACAGTAGACCATCGAAAGTATAAAAAAACGAAACGAAATATAGATCTGTATTTTAATCAGATTGTGTACACATTGGCGTGCGAGTAAAAGAACCCTTGACAGATGGAATTCAAAATAAGAGTGGACTGTAGCGCCACGGTTCTGGCAAAGGTTCCCGTCATAATACATTGTTTGCCCGTCTTCGTTAGCCCAGTCGGTGCAGAAAAGTGTTTTATTTAGCAAGTCAAGGGAAGACAATGGCTGGCTAACTATACGATCTTTATAGCACACGGGGTGGGTAATGGGCATGCCCATTCTTCATAGCACACTGAATAGTTAATGGGCATACTAATCTTCATAGTACACATTTGTTGGGTAATGGGCAAACCATCTTCATAGCACACTGGATGGGTAATAGGAATACCCATCTTCATGGCACACTGGATGGGTAATGGGTAATGGGCATGCCCATCCTTCATAGCACACTGAATAGTTAATGGGCATACCCATCTTCATAGCACACCGGATGGGTAATGGGCAAACCCATCGTCATAGCACACTGGATTGGTAATGTGCATACCAATTTTCATAGCAAACTAGATGGGCAATAAGCATAGCCACCTATAGCACACTGGATGGACAAACCCATCTTCATTAGCCCGATTTTGTAGAAAAATGGGACGTTAAACCTGAACTCATTCATCGTATTATTTTATTCAATGTCAATGTAATTTGATATTGTACTAGTATTAAATCCACCCACTTTGGTTGTCTACATATATGGCTTGTTGGATTTATTAAAGTTTACCAACATTGGTAGTCAACATATATGAATTTATTAAAGTTCTCGACATTATTTATTATAATATCTGTTTGATTGAATGTTTTTTTCAGGTTATCCAGACCGAGTTATATAGAAACTTGGGTTTAGCGTTTCTCTGTGTTTTCCTGGTAACGTTGGTATTAATAGCCAATCTGTGGACGTGTCTAATGGTCTCCTGCTGTATCATGTTTACTCTGGTAAGTATTTCTAACGACAGTGGGATTACACTAACGACAGTAGGATTATCCTAACGTCTGTGGAATTTCCCTAACGACAGTGTGATTACACTATCGACAGTGGGAATTCTAACGACAGTGGGATTGACCTATCGAGTTCTAAACACTTTCTATATACTAAACATTACTTTAGAGTAGTGAATCAATGCTCACATGGGGCCACGGTGGTCATGGATAGTTGTTCAGTATAGGACGAAAACCGAGGTCCTGTGTACACATTGGCGTGCAGTTGGAATTCGATATAAGGGTTTATTACAGGTAAATGATGGTGGTTCTATGATTGTTTATTACAGGTAAATGATGGTGGTTCTATGATTGTTTATTATAGGTAAATGTTGGTGGTTCTATGATTGTTAATTAATGAGTGTGGTTCTATGATTGTTTATTATAGGTAAATGATGGTGGTTCTATGATTGTTTATTATAGGTAAATGTTGGTGGTTCTATGATTGTTTATTATAGGTAAATGATGGTGGTTCTATGATTGTTTATTATGGGTAAATGATGGTGGTTCTATGATTGTTTATTATAGGTAAATGTTGGTGGTTCTATGATTGTTTATTATAGGTAAATGTTGGTGGTTCTATGATTGTTTATTACAGGTAAATGATGGTGGTTCTATGATTGTTTATTACAGGTAAATGATGGTGGTTCTATGATTGTTTATTATAGGTAAATGTTGGTGGTTCTATGATTTTATATTACAGGTAAATGATGGTGGTTCTATGATTGTTTATTAAAGGTAAATGATGGTGGTTCTATGATTGTTAATTAATGATAGTGGTTCTATTATTTTATATTACAGGTAAATGTCGGTGGTTCTATGCATTTCTGGGGTTTAACTATAGAGACAGTTACTAGTATACAGTTGATTCTAGCTATAGGTCTAGCTGTTGATTATTCAGCTCATATAGGTCATACCTTTATGACTATTAAAGGTACCAGACAAGGTAAATATAGTATTTATTCACACTTTAAAGGTTCGGGTCAGGTAACCTGCAATCTGATTAAACACATATGTTTATGACTATTAAAGGTACCAGACAAGGTAAATATAGTACTCATTCACACTTTAAAGGTTCGGCTGGGGTAACCTGCAATCTAATTAAAACACAGATCCTATTTCGTTTCGTTTTTTATAGTTCAAAATTTCGTTTTACTTGTCTTCACAAATTTAACGCTGATTAATCAATATCTGACGTCATAGGGTCAAAAGCCGCCCGTATGACCCCTGACGCGACCTCCCAGTACAACTGGTCAGATTTTGATGTAGTGTAGGCCATTAAAAGTATAAAAAAACGAAACGAAATATAGATCTGTATTTTAATCAGAATTAGTAACCTGTGTCATTTAATTATAAGATATGTCATTAAGTGGTGTGACTTTGACCGACACTTGTATGTGACAAGGCGTAGGGTGGCCTGCCTAACATCGTGGATTTTCTCCGATTTCCTCCCACCCACTGCTAAAGACCTGTGGCCGAATGGTCTAACGGGTTTGCTGTGCATCGTAAGGTCTGTCATAGATTCCAGTGGCGTTGTTTAGATTCGTACTCACCATTTTAAATCCAATGAAACCTGACAATTTTATTTTTGACCTTAATTAAAGATGTCTCTTTATATTAAACTGCAGTACGCGAGTCTGCCAGCTCTCTGTTCTCTCGCACTCTCATTTATGTTCATGAAAATGTTGAACTAGTTTGACTAGTTTGTGTCAAGTGGATGTTAAGTTAACCCCCCCCCCCCCCTCTCCCCTGCCACCTTTGTGTTTATGAAAATGTTGAACCTTATTTTTTATATTATGTTAGCCCGGGCTCTAGAAACTTTAAGTGAAATGGGACCACCCGTGTTTAATGGAGGGTTCAGTACCTTCCTTGCCTTTGTTCTACTTGGTGGCAGTAACAGCTACGTCTTTACCACATTCTTTAAGGTACGTATAATTTTACCACATTCTTTAAGGTATGTATAATTTTACACTACGTCATAGACCACTGCTCGCTACTTAGTAGGTCTCGGTTTGCTTTTGATTTTGGCGTGATTTCCCATTGTAAGTCAGTGAGTTCAGGTGGGGGTGTTGGGGGGGGGGGGGAGCTCTGGCAAGGACCATGTCTAGTCGTTCCGATGGAATGAAAAACCTTGGTGCAAGTAAAAAAAAAATTGACAGCTGGCGATGACCCTAATGTAGTAGAAAGGTAGTTGGGTAACCGAGTGGTTAACGTGTGCGCGTTGGATCACAAGGTTTGTCATTGAGCCAACTGGTGTGATTTCGATTTCCTAGCTTGTACGTGACAAGGAATAGGGTCGCCTGTCCAGCCTCGTGGGTTTTCTCTAGGTCCCTGACTTCCTCTAACTACTTAGGAACCTAACCAAATTATTGAAATAAAATGGAGTGGCTGTTAAACCCCATTTCTCTCTCTCCCCTAATCAATCAGATTAAAACACGGATCCTATTTCGTTTCGTTTTATAGTTCAAAATTTCGTTTTACTTGTCTTTACTACACTATGATCTGGAAGAGTTGTTATCATTGACGTTTTCTGAATGATGTGAGCTATTAGCTAATGCAACGTTCTGTTACGGCGAGCTTTAGGCGTGTTTTGCACGGAACTGTGGGTAATCCACTAGTAATATCAATGCTGATTGGTTAATCAAATACCTGACGTCATAGGTCAAAAGCCCCTCGTATGACCTCTGACGCGACCTATCGCTACAACCGACCAGATCTTCATGTAGTGTAGGCTATCGAAAGTATAAAAAAACGATAAGAAATATAGATCTGTTTTTTAATCTGATTATCCCCTAATGTAGAACTATTATAATGAAGTGTACGTTATTATTGTAGGTATTCTTCCTCGTTGTCTGGTATGGATTATTTCACGGATTAGTATTTCTACCTATCATCCTGTCGTGGTTGGGACCCAGTCCCTACCTATCAGCTGATCACATTTACCATGAAAAGGTGCCGCCTTCCGGGGATCATGTCCCCCACCACAGTCATACACACGATAATAAAAATATGAACGGTATTAACAACATGGCCATGACATCCAGTAGTAAACAATTTCCTAATAATGTAAGTATAAGATAATTATCAATTATTTGTATTTGCATATATTAGAGATGCATTATGTAAGAACTAAATCTGCCTACTTTATTTTCGCTTCAAATGTAATATAAATTATTATTCAAACATTTATTCACATGGCAAGCCTAGAATCAACCCTCTGAACCTTGGATGGCTCCGATTTTAAGTAGATTAGTCAAAACGGCCATATATAACGTGTGCGTTTTAGATCACAAGGTCTGGCATTCACTCATCTGGCATTCTTTCGAACCCTAGTGTCTATATCATGATAAGGTGTACAGTCGCCTGCCTAATATCTTGGGTTTTATCCGGGTCCTACGACTGCTAAAGGCTCCTACGCGCAAGCGAATTGTTGAAATAAAATTGAATCATATGTTAGTCCCGAAATGACCGGCGGGGTTTGTGTCGAGTGGACGTTAAACCCCCGTTTTCACTGCTGGCTAAGAACCTTTTCCATTCTGTATTTTGTATGGCTGGCTGTTTGTTTATTTAGCTTTCCAACCAAATTGTACAATATCTTTAATATATATTTTATGCAGTCTGGGGATTAAAAGGAAAAGATGTAAGGACTATTTCTTGCTAGTTGTTTTTTTTTTATATTTTTTTTTTATCTTTTTTGTTTGTTTGTTGAAGTGTTAAGTTTTATTTAACGTTATTTATGCTTTTGAAAGAGAATCTGTGAGAGCTCATTTCTTTCAATGTTCACTACTCATTTCCTAACTTATCCTTTAAGTCAGGGGTTCTCAAGGTTTATCGTGTACCGCTTATCCCGCGTAGCTAGTTTGCTAGGTGACGCCATCGACAAAGGGGCTTTTTTTAAGATACTGGGTATTTTTTTTTTTGCAAATACCAATAATAATAGCATTTGCCAATGTTATTTCACTTAGTCTTAGTTCCAAAATTATTTCACTAAGTTTCCAAAATAATTTCACTAAGTTTCCAAAATTATTGCGCATATCTTTTCAAAATTGTTTCACTTATTCTCAAAAAAATTTCACTTATTCTCAAAAAAATTTCACTTATTCTCAAAAAAATTTCACTTAGTTTTTTTAATTTCAAACTTTTATCAAAAAATAATCCATTTAGTTTCAAAAATTATTTCACTTAGTTTTTCAAAAACTATTTCACTTAGTTTTTCAAAAAAGATTTCTCTTAGTTTTTCAAAAACTATATACTCCTAGATGGGAACCCCTCCATTAAGTAAAGCATTTTCTGTTTTATACCGCATTTTATTTACTTCTTTTAAAGCTTACTTTTGTTATTGGTGTCCTGGTATTTTTCTCTTATTTTCTTTTCTGGATGTTTATTATATATATATTTTATTTGTAACTACTTACTATTATCTGATTTATTTTTACATGTCCTGTTAAATATTATTCACGTTTAAAACTGATTTTGTACTCAAGTATTGAAGGCGCTATAGAAGTTTGCCTCGTTTGTGATATTTCTAATCATTAAATGAGAATACGATTTAGTACACTTTTGAAACTAATTTTGTACTCAAGTATGAAAGGCGCTATGGAAGTTTGCCTGGTTCGTGATATTTCTAAAAACAAAAGGAGAATATCCAGTTCTGTGAAAACGATTTCAGATTTAGATTCAGTATTTTACTGACTTTGTTTTGTGTTTTTCTCAGAGAACTGATTTGTTTTCCTTATTTTAAAGATGCATTATGTAAGATTTAGATAAAGAGCTGACCGTTCTTGTTATAATAATTCCAAAATGGCTAATGAAAAATGGATATAACGTTGAAAATTTTATTCATTTACATTATTCTGAGCCAAGTTAAGTCATCACTGTTTGAAGTTTTGAAAAGATGTGGCAAATATTGTTTATTACCATAGTAACGTTATTTGTTCATCGAGGTGCGGCCTCGCTTCTTCATTTTTAAATTAAATCACTAAATGGCGATTGGTTTAAATCTCTGACATCCAATGATCTTGAGAGTTGATTATAAACTTGTCGTCTAAATAATACTTTATATAACATTTAAAGCCAAAAAAAAACCACCCTGCAATAGACAGATTTAGCTCTTACCTAATGCATCTTTAATATCGATTTCTATTTGTTTATATGGTTATACAAAAGATATCGACTTTTTTCTCAGAACTGATTTGTCTTCAATATTTAAAGATTATTTTTGTGTATTTGTAGGGTTATACAAATAGAAATGGATACCCACCAAACTATGATGATATAGAAACAGTTTATATACCTCCACCAGATTACACACCACCTACAACCAAGAAGGGGTTGCCTAGAGTTGCCTATTGATATCAATTACACACCGTCTACACCCAAGAGGGGGTTACCTAGAGTTGCCTATTAATATCAATAATACACCGCCTACAACCAAGAGGGGGTTACCTAGAGTTGCCTATTAATATTAATTACACACCGCCTACATTCAAGAGGGGGTTACCTGGGGTTGCCTATTGATATCAATTACACACCGCCTACATCCTAGAGTTGCCTATTGATATCAATTACACACCGCTTTCATCCAAAAGGGGGTTACCTAGGGTTGCCTATTAGTACCAGTATTATTAATGTTAGTTATTTATGACCAGTGATGTTTAATGAATGGATATTAGAGACAAAGATTTATTACCTTAGGCTACAATCTGATTATAATACAGATCTATATTTCGTTTCGGTTTTTTTATACTTTCGATGGCCTACACTACATGAAGATCTGACCCGTTATAGTAAAAGGTCACGTCAGAGGTCGTACGAACGGTTTTTGACCCTATGACGTCAGACATTGATTAATCAATCAGCGTTGACGTTTCTAGTGGTGTACCTACAGTTCCATGCATCGCACGCCAAGAAGTCGCCGTAACAGAGGGTTTCATTGGCTAATCCCTCACAGAACGCAGGTTATATAACACCTCTTCCAGATCCTAGTGTAGTACAGACAAAACAAAACGAATTTTGAACTATAAAAAACGAAACGAAATAGGATCTGTGTTTTAATCAGATAGCTTCGGCTAATGCTTAGGAATTGTTGGACGTGCTCCCACATCGGCCGGTCTCAAAATATATTACTATTTTTTAATGGCCTCCACTCTATGTAGATCTGCTCTTTTTGTGTGGGAGGTCACAATATTGTCAATGATTTCTGCTCATGCTCTCAAAGCTAGAATTTGGTTACCCCCCCCCCCCCTCCAAATTAAAAATGTGGTTTATTTGAAAGAAAATAAGACAAATTTAAAATAGGATCTGTGTTTTAATCGGATTAGTCAATAATCGTATTATGATCACTGTTATTTATACCTTATATGTTTAGAATCTTGAGGTCAACGCTATGATTGGCTCGTCCTAGAGGCCAAGCCAAATTAATTTTTAGTTCTTCGGTTATTGATCAACAAATAAATATTCATTTGAGTTTCACGAAGAATGTATTGTTTGATATTTAAAAACTTGAGAAATTGGGGGCAAGACGATTTACCCAATAATACTAACCAAATACCACCACATACAACCTAACTATTGTGAAAACTGACAGAATACTTCAATTATATGAAGAAAAAATTGAATTGATTCGCAAGAATTAACAAAAATTATTGTGAAAACTAACAAAATGCACCAGGTATATGAAGAAAAAAAATTGAATTAATTCGCAGAATTAGCAAAAATTGTACCTTAAACTGAGATGTCTATTTATAGTATCAGTAGCTCAAGCGACTGACAGATTTTAAGAACAGCATTTTGGTAAATGATTTTAAATTAGCTTTTGTCCGAAGAACAAAAAATCGGATTGGCGTGGCCTGAATATCTCTTATCATATCTCAAGGAAGCTCGACATTATTTTGTTTCATATTTTATATATTTTTGTATATTAAATTATTTTGTCCCGTTTTTATGTTTTACTAATTATATTTATTGTTGTTTGTTGCCATAGTTTTGCCTTCTGTGACATATTTTAAATTAGGCCGGGCCGTTATATAAATATTAACATTCAGTAACGGCGTTACTTGTTTTTGTTATAAAATACTGGAATGTCGACAGAGAATTCGGTGATATTTTTTTAGTTCAGTTGATATTTTTTTTATGTCCAATTGTTCAATATTCTCGATATAAACGAACTTGCCATTTGACCTTCCTTGCCAGTCAAATTTCAAAACTTAGGACACAGGACTCTATAGACTAGATTCTCCAGGGTACAGGACTCCATAGACTAGCTTGTCCACGGCACAGGGTTCTACAGACTAGATTGTCCAGATTTTTTTAAAACCTGGCCCTCACATTGTCACAGGTTGCGATTGTGCGGGGTACTATGAAAGCGTGCCGAGTCGTTTGGATATGAAAAACCGAGGTCCACCCGTGTACACATTGGCGTGCACGTAAAAGAACCATTGAATGGTAGATATAAACGCTGCTGTCAGTGCAGAGTTGTCTTGCCTTGCACACGTAACCATGGAAATAAAAATTATCAGATATTAGTCTCAAAATAACCAAATTATTGTGTTGACGAGAATTTAATCTCGATTCCATTCCAATACTCTTTTAATAATGGTAGATAGTCCATTCATGTTTTATAGGAACAATTTATGAGAAATTTAAAATTAGATTCAGAGGCCAACTTGCATTTACAGTTGAAATTCAAAATTTATTATGAAATAGAGTATCTCAGGATCCATGACTGGAAAATGCCATTAAAGCCTCCATGCGTCTTTTGCATTTTCGCTAATATATCAAATTTCTCGCGGCTAAGTATGTACTCGGATTGATTATTTAACATTTAATTGAGAAAACTTTACATTATCTATTTTGTAACTATTATAGTGAGAATCGTCAACTCTTTATCTAATCTTCCATAATCGCCCTTTAATTAAGAAAACTCTATAAAAATTCCAACGCCAATAACCGCACGTCTTGGATTCAATCGGAATGTTTGTTTTTTTAAAAATGATCTATTATTTATATAACTAACAGAAATAGATCGATGAAATTTCAATTGATCATAACTTTGTAAATACTGGACTGAATTGAACCATCTTTTGGGACTAACATTCAGTGATTCCCGTTGCTTAGAATGACGCATGGAGACTTCAAATATCACAATATTGTAGTTTACGAGTTATTTCTGTTGCTTAAAATGACGCATCGAGACTTTAAATATCACAATATTGTAGTTTAAAAGTTATTCCTGTTGCTTAAAATGACGCATCGAGACTTTAAATGATGGTTAACAATTCAGATCTGTTGATATTGTTGTAGTAAATGAATGTATGTGTTAACCACGAACTGTGATATTATGTAGATATATTATGACATTATTTATGAATAGTCCCAAGACGGACGACAAGTACTTTAAAATGTTTACCGTGAAACAAAGTAGTGCAGCTTTACGGTTGTGCTAATATTTCTGGATATTATTATATATGTAAATATGTGTGTATAAATTAGTTATAATTGTATATATTCTCTTAGAAATATGTTAAAGATATATAACTACAAGAGTAATGCATATTAAATCATCAACAATAACCTCGTCACGTTTTAGCGGCAAGCTATTTAGAAGCGAATTGTCTATTAATGAATACAGACCCCCACCCCAAGAGACTCACTTTAGGGGGTCCGGGACAGGGGCCCGAACAGTCGGAAATAGCATGTACGCGTTTCATCTTCCAAATTTTTCCTGTTAGGCGACAGAGACCCCCGCTGCATGCCCAGCAATTATTTCTTGACACACCCCCCCCCCCCGTATCCTGTAAATCCTTGATCCGCCTCTGTTTATGCACTTAGAAATTGGAATTATTTCTCTTTTATATGGTTGACGTGCCTCTTAATATTCCAATGTATTTTAGTTTGAGATTTGTGATACCTTGCTGTGTAAGTAGTATTAATCGCACAACGAAACAATAGATTTTAAACTTGTTTCTACTTATGAATATCTCGACATTTTTTGTTTTGTTATTTCTTTAATAAATATGGCTAAAATATATAAGTCGTTCATTAAAAAAAAATAATAACATTTGACATAATTGATTATTAATTATTTTTTTTTTTAGCATTTCCCAACTGTTAAAAAGTGATACCCACTTTCAGATCGCTAGAAAATATTTCAGTTGTTCATTAAAATTTGTTTTTACATAATTGATTGTTTGTTTTGGTTTTGTTTTTTGTTTTGTTTTTTTTAGCTTTCCCAACCATAACATCTCAACTGTTAAGTGATGATACCCACTTTCATATGGCTTAAATATTTTGAGACTTGTAGTGCATAAGAAGAGTGCGTCTGTTCTGGATATCCTTAGCTGTGGGGAGTGGCGATGGCACAGTGAGGTCCCGTGTTCGACCCTTGCGTTGGCCGAGAAAGTTCGTCGGAATTTACCGACGTGGTTACCCCTTTACGGTGGTGCAGGACAGAGGGTTTGGCAAGTGACAACGTATAGTCGTTCGAATGGGATGAAAACCGATGTCCCGTGTACATATTAGCGTGTAAAAGATCCTATGGCATTTGATATAAGAGAAGGCCGCAGTGCCATTGTCCGCGCAAAATTTCCCTCATAGCACACTGTATGGCGTATGCCCGTCTTCATTAGCCCAGTCGGAGCAGAACAGTAGGACGTTAAACCCCATTTCATCTCATTTCTTATTTGTGTGGAATGAATAACTCTGGACTTGTGTGAAATGGATAACTACGCTGTGTGTCGAATGGATCACTGTGGGGTGTATGGATAAGATCACTTTGACATGGATGGAGTGGATCATTACGCCACCCATTGCTGTCCGAGGGGTTCGGATATTCAGTGAAAAGGTGCAACAACAATAAGAAAAACTAAAAGTGTATTTTATATCACAAAAAATATCAAAAATAACTTAGGTTTCTAATTTCACGATATTGTTAATCATTATGACGAATAAACTGAATGTTCATAGGATCGGAATTACGTCGACGTTTCTGGAATATAAATAATCCTAAAGCTCCAAGAACAATGCCAGGTAGCAGCATACCGAAAGCTATTCCTATCATCGCACCTGTAATAAAAAGAAAAACATGGTTTTAGTAACCACGGAAGGTTTAAAGATACATTATGAGAGATTAGATAAAGAGCTGGCAGTTCTCACTATAATAGTTAAAACCTAGATAATGTAAAGGGAATTTGCTGAAAATTGACCCACTCTGAACCGAGAATTTAGGCACATTTAGCTCTTGCATAATGTATGTTTAAGTTAGGATAAATTTTATTCGTAAACAGTGCGGTTACGACGAGTAATCTTTATCCGTAAACACCATGGTTACGAGCTAACCTTTATTCGTAAAGACTGAGGTTACGAGCTAACTTTTATTTGTAATCACCGTGGTTACGACGAGTAATCGTTACCGTAATCACCGTGGTTACGACGAGTAATCTTTATCCATAATCACCGTGGTTACGACGAGTAATTTTTATCCGTAATCACCGTGGAAACGACGAGTAATCTTTATTCATAAACACTGTGGTTACCAAGTAACCTCTATTCGTAAACACTTTGGTTACGAGGTAGCCTCTATTCGTAAATATTGTGGTTACGAGGTAATCTTCATTTGCTAATGTCGTTTCAAGGAAATCTTTATTCGCAAACAAACGGTTACGAGGTAATCTGTATTCGTAAACACCTTGGTTACGAGTAATGTTTATTCGTAAACACTGCGGTTACGAGGTATTCTTTATTTGAAAACACTTTAGTTACTTGTTAATTGTTAATCCGTATTCGTAACCACGCCGAGATCCCATCATTAAGTCGTTCGGATGGGTCGAAAGCCGAGATCCCAGCGTTGAGTCGTTCGTATGTGACGAAAGCAGAGATCCAAGCGTTGAGTAGTTCGGATGGTTCGAAAGCCGAGATCCCAGCGTTGAGTCGATCGAATGGTTCGAAAGCCGAGATCCAAGAGTTGAGTAGTTCGGATGCGACGAAAGCGGAGATCCGGCGTTGAGTCGTTCAGATGGGCCGAAAGCCGAGATCCCAGCGTTGAGTAGTTCAGATGGGCCGAAAGCCGAGATCCCAGCGTTGAGTAGTTCGAATGGTACGAAAGCCGAGATCCCAGCGTTGAGTTGTTCGGGTGGTACGAAAGTCGAGATATGTCGAGACCCCACCCATTGTTGAGTAGTTCGGATGGTACGAAAGCCGAGATCCCAGCGTTGAGTTGTTCGGGTGGTACGAAAGTCGAGATATGTCGAGACCCCACCCATTGTTGAGTCGTTCGGATGTGACGAAAGCCGAGATCCCAGCGTTGAGTCGTTCGGATGTGACGAAAGCCGAGATCCCAGCGTTGAGTAGTTCGGATGATCCGAAATCTCAGATCCTGTGTATACACTTAACAACAAGTTAAAGATCCCCTGACAGTTGGAAATCAAATCAAGGATCAGCTGTAATGCCACTGTCATGGCAAAATGTCTCTCATGGCTCAATGCATAGTGGATGCCTGGCTTCATTACCCGGGGGGGGGGGGGTAAGAAACAATTGATCTGATTTAGAAAAATAAGATATATCATTTATCCGATTCGTATGAATTACACGGACTATTTTCAACATCACCTTAAAAGTTACTCACCAGTGTTGTCAGTGGATGTATTACTTTTACAAAGTTGATTGCCCGGATTAGTATTATTATTATTATTATTATTATTATTATTGTTTGGTTTAGCAGCGGTTACTCCTGTAAATATAGAAACATACCAATAACATTTATCTTGAAAATATAGGTTTTCAATCTTTAGACATTCTGATTAAAAAACAGATCCTATTTCGTTTCGTTTTTGATAGTTCAAAATTTTGCGTTACTTGTCTTTACTACACCAGTATCTGGAAGTGTTGTTATATAACCCGCATTCTTGCTGATTTGAGGGATTAGCCAATGAAACAGTTTTTGAACTGTGGGTAACCAGCTAGAAACATTAAGGCTGGTTGGTTAATCAAATGTCATATGTCATAGGGCCAAAAGCCACTCGTATGACCCCTGACCCGACCTTCCACTACAACCGGTCAAATCTTCATGTAGTAGAGGCCATCAAAAGTATAAAAAAACGAAACGAAATATAGATCTGTATTTTAATCAAATTGGTCTTTAGGCTACTGGTCGAAAAACAACTGTGTTGTCTTGAACACACTATGCAAATTTTATTCTCCTATAGTTTGACCGAAGGGTAGACAGACAACTCGGACCATGGACCACTCCAACCAAAAGACCAGTCGGACCAGTTGATATACCTCTCGAATCAAGACCACTCGAACCAATATTTTGCTCTACTGATTCACTTCATAATTAAAATAAAACACTGATCAATATATTGTTATTTATTTATTTATTATTTAAACATGTCATAAACGTATACGCCCACACGGCCGAGATTAGCTATAGTTCAACGATATAATAAAGTAGCCTCGTATTAATGATAAGGCCAGCTCCATTTTTCGTTATAGGTCAGGATATGTAAACAGGGTTAGCGCTAATCACAACCCTAACCCTGGACCTGGACCTAGCCCCAATGCTTACCCTAACCCTAACCTACAATCTCGCCAACAATCACGTGTCCTAACCTTATTTACATCTCAACGACCTTGACAAAAATTGTGCTGGCCTTAACAAATAGATTTAGTCCGTATTAATTGGATAAGTTTATGTTCTTTGGGTGAAAGGAAATAATGACAATCAACACGCAGTCCTGATTATCGATGATTAACAACTCAAATTTTGCCTCAAGCACCAAAGAACCACAACTTACTTGTATAGACATCACAGACATCTGCTTCAGTCCGATATCCAATAGAAACACCAGTAGATAGACGACATTGTGTCACGTTACCACAATATTCAAACGTATTACACATAATCCCTGTTTGATCAACACAAACCTTCGCACAATCTGATGACGAAGCTGCATTTATGATGATGTCATTGTTACCTTTCACCAGACGACCACCAGTGTCGCGAAAATCAAAGATATAGTTTCCTGCCAAAATAAAATTTGATGACTTTTGTAACAGCTCTTCAAGAAATACTCAAGTTAAAATGCGGAAAATAATATTATATCACAGAAATTAATAATTAGTATAAAATTTAGGCCATGGCGTGACATTCTAAAACTAACAATCGCTAGGCAATGCATTAAGAAAAGTAACAAATCACCATTTTATTTGCGGAGATTGGAAATCAAAGTCTTAGAAAGGAAATAATTAACTCTAGGAGTTAATGCCTGAGTATTAATGCAAAAAATGGTAGGTCTATAGAAAACGGGATTATTCACCGACAATGGTTGACAAGCAAATGAACCGCGTGTCTTAGGAAATGGACCCTGACGTCTATTCATCTTGTATCTCTTGGAGCCACCCGGTGGGATCGAGAGTTGATTATGATCTTGTCATGTTAATAAATGTCTAATTAATAATTTATATAACATTTAAGGCCCAAAGAAAGGCTAGCAATTGCCAGATTTAGCCCTTGAATAGTGCCGCTATAAAGTTATTCATATCCGGCATTGTAATCATATCTTGTAATTCCCCGGTTGTACGTGACAAGCAGTAGGGTCGCCTGTCCAACATCGTGGGTTTTCTACAGGTGCTCCGGTTTCCTCCCACTGCTAAAGACCCCAACGCGCCAGCGAATTATTGAAATAAAATTCAACGTATTTTTAAAATGCTACATGCATTAATAACGAAATTAAGTTTGCCAGGTGAAACTTAAAGGCACCCAATCGTAGCCAAAAACAAACACAATTTAGAAACTATTTGTGCTTACTTGAATAATGATCACAAGTTGAACTGGTTGTCACGGTTTTACCGGCATCTAAAATGTGTGTTTTTCGTAAACGACAAGATGGTAGATCACCGCGGCAGAAATCAAACGATTCACAGTTAAACGAATGTTCTTTTGAACAAGCACCAGAACAGTCTTCTGAATTAACTATTTTAGGCAAGACTTTATCAGCTTGTGTCGACAATACCTCACCTTTGTATTGTTGATATTCTTTTAGATATTGTCCTGTGGAAAAATAATCACAAAATAATTCTTTAAAGACATAATAAGACTTCTTTAATGTATCGAAGACCAAACAGGACAATATTAATGATTTTGGTTTCTTCATTCCATTTTTTACATATTATATATATCAAATATTGTCCCATTTCGTTTTCCATACCACTGTAGTGAAATTGTCAATTGCCACCACTTTAAGGAACATAAGTAAGATTCATTAGCATGAGGGCGACGTTTCCTTACAACCCTCTAATGTAGTGAAATGTGTATTTTCCACCGTAGCACGAAATATGAGAAAAACCCATTAACTCTTTCAATTCTTTTGATTCAACTAAAGTAATACTGGCCTATAAATTTAGCGTTCTAATGAGTCGGTTACGGGAACGGAACCGTTTATATAAATATCCGTCCCGGGTAGCATTACGGATCCTTGTGTCGTTTGTGTGTTTGATAGCAAAGATCTTATACTGCTCGTAATGTCATTGTGTGTTTTCTTAAACTCAAATTGATCGTGTCAATACTATAACATACTGGCCATTGAACAAATATACTATAATATACTATCCAGAGAACAAATATACTACAACATACTGTCCATGGACTAATGTAATATAACAAACTGTCCATATAACAAATATACTGTAATATAATGTCCATAGAACAAATATACTATAATATACTGTCCATAGAACAAATATACTATAACATACCGTCCTTGGAACATATATACTATAACATATTGTTCTTAGAACAAATTTATTATAATATGCTATCCATAGAACAAATATAACATGACATATTGTGCATAGAACAAATATACTATAATATACTGTCCGTAGAACTAATATGATATAACAAACTGTCCATAGAATAAATTATACTATAACATACTGTCCATAGAACAAAATATAAAATATTGCCCATAGAACATATATACTATAATATACTGTCCATAGAATAAAAATATACTGTAACACATTGTCCATATAACAAATATACTGTAACACATTGTCCATAGAACAAATATACTGTAACACATTGTCCATAACAAATATATTATGAAACATGTTGCATAGAACATCGAACATCGAGGAATTTCTCTTATAAATTATATCATACTTACTGTTATACATATCACAAAATGAGTTTTTTGTCAATAAATCTGGGCGTTGATCTGGATGAATTCTACTCAAAGAACAATCGCCCGTTGTGTAGCAATATTCAAACGATTGACAATCAAAACGATCTTCAGTGGCACAAAAGGTGGCGCAGTCATCCACAGCAGTATTAGAAAAAGTCGTGTCATATTTAGTAAGTACAGTATTATTTCCAAAGACAGTGAACTGTTGTAGAAAGGCACCTGGAAATCAAACGAAATGGGGGTTTAAAACCCTGCTGTTCTTCAGTGACTTGGCTAATGAAGACGAGCATACGCCATACAGTGTACGATGTGTCCTGCATCACTGACAATGGAAACCAAGCCGGAAAATTCGAGAAACTTTCTTAGCAAATAAAAATGTACTCTACTTCGATTTTCTACGGTGGCTGATTTAGGACATACAAACAAAATATTAATAATATCTCGAGCGATCGAGACACTAAGTCGAGCGCTCGACAAATGAATATCTTTATTCTGCAAGAGTATCATTAAATAATGCACAAAATTATACAACATAAAACATAGGTTGAGACTTGTGCGATTGTATTATCTCAAGCGCTCGAGCACCCCACTTATTATCTCAATCGCTCGACTTAGTATCTCGAGCGCTCGAGATATATATTTTTTTTTGCATGTCCTAAATCCGCCATCGTAATATTGAGTAATTTTAGTGAAATATTTTTTTGTGTGATTTGTGTGAAGAGAATTGAACGTATATTAAAGTGGCGATGAGAATGTTATATCAATAATAACATAAAAATTGTAGACTATTGAGATGTTTCTGATTGGTCATCATTGACCAAGTACAGTGAAATCCCTCTATTAAGACCAGCTGTGGGACTGTCTAGATATGGTCTTAATAGTGAGGTGACCTCATTACTGAGTGAGTATGTTTGAGGCAATTTGAATGAAAAACAGACACAGTGTTAGGTAAATTATATAGACATGTACATGTATTGTTTTTACAAAAATATATTTTCCATTCATACTTTATATTTTAGCATTGGTGGATAAAGACTGGAGACTCAGAGTCGAAACGTTGCCCAGTATAATCTAACTTCAGTATCAACTGGTGTATATCAACCTGCCATCAGTATCAACTGGTGTATATCAACCTACCTTCAGTATCAGCAGATGTATATCAACCCACCTTCAGTATCAACTGGTGTATATCAACCTACCTTCAGTATCAACTGGTGTATATCAACCTACCTTCAGTATCAACTGGTGTATGTCAACGTACCTTCAGTATCAAACCTCGGCACTATCTGGTGTATATCAACCTACCTTCAGTACCAACTGGTGTATATCAACGTATCGTCGGTATCAACCGTTGTGTATAAACCTTCATTCAGTACCAACTGGTGTATATCAACCTCAGTACCAACCTTCAGTATCAACTGGTGTATATCAACATAACCTTCCTTCAGTATCATCTGGTGTATATCAACCTACCTTCAGTATCAACTAGTGTATATCAACTTACCATCATTATCAACTGGTGCATATCAACTTACTTTCAGTATCAATAGGTGTGTATCAACCTACCTTCAGTATCAACTAGTGTATATCAACCTACCCTCGGTATCAACTGACCAACCTGCCCTCGGTATCAAGTGGTGTATATTAACCTACCTTCAGTATCAACTGGTGATACAGCTTGGTTGATATCATCTCTTATATTAGATGCGACATATACAAACGGCTGTAATTAGATAAAATGATAACCATAAGTTCGTTTTGACCCTTGAACCCATCTTCCTGAAGCAATGGTCGGATGAATCCCTCTGAGTGGTATTAGAAGTAATCAAACGAAAAACTGAGAGGAGTCCACAATATGAGCAGGCCTTTGCGATAGTGTGATGAACTGACCATCCCATAAGAGAACCAGGACTATTTGGGCTGCACTATTCACCGCCTGCCTTTTGAAGCTACCCTTCACGAGAGGTCGACATCTACCGGCACTTGTTTAAACTATTGTGTTTAGTTTTAAAAAAAGATAAAAACAGACTACTGTCTGATTCATCGTAAATTTTAAACGGATTTCTTCGATTATGAACAAACTACTCAACTTTGGTTATTATAAACTTACCTGTGTGTTTGTAATGAACTCCCGTTCGATAAAATCCATTGCACAACTAATTATCACAACGATGAGAACAATTTCTCTCTTGAAAAATTTGAAAATTTACTTGTAATTTCGACTGAGTCGATGTCAACAATGTCTTCGTGACGTATTGGTCGAATCCAATATACCTGTTGCGGGGGTTGGTTAACATTGAAAGATAGTTTGACAGCGCGATCATTTTGATCGTATATGGGTTTGGGCGACGAAAAATATCAATTGAAGGCAATTACATAGGAGATTTATATGGAAACCATTGATCGCCAGTCTATCAAATTTTCTTCACAATTAAAATATCACTGATTGCACGGATACTCGTAAAAATAAAGTCATGAATAAACTATAAATATCCTATCTTCTTCATGTTATAAATAATTTAACAAGGATCATGAAGCTTACCTCCGAATTCTCTGAGTGTATTTTTAATTTTATACGCATTCTTTCGATCGAATAATAACCGCTTCAGTAACATCTTTAAGCGTGTTGCGGCAGCCCTCAGCGTGTCTATTGCCGTATTGGGTGCCCGGGTGGGTATATAATGCTACTAAGCCCGTATGACCCCGTAAGAAGCGGAACATTAATTCTCGATTCGACAGTTTTGACCGAAGTCTGATAAAGCCCGTAAAACGAATGTATAGTTGTGTTTGTGCGGCATGCGTGTTCAAAAGTAAATAATCCCATCCGAGTCGCTAATCAAATAATTAGAACAAAATATTTCAAAAAGTAAAGCTATAAAATTTGCAGAGATTTTACTAGAATGTAAAAGACGGTAACTAAATACAGGAATGCGGGTAGTTATGTGTGCGAACGCTCAAACTCAATGCCAATTGTCGTAGGTATCCAGACCACTCGGACCAAAGACTACTCGGACTAAGACCAGTCGGACCAAAACAAGACCAGTCGGACCAATTAAATTATATTATAAGGCTAGACAATATGCTATTTATTTATTATTAAATCACAATACAAAGAAGCAAATAATTCTTATACGGAATTCTTATATTTAGAGTTGTTTGGTTCAATTTTGTGTACGTAAATAAATCAACGATTAGTTTTAAATTAATTAATAATGGTGCCAAAAAAAAATATCAATCTAATTTTTCTTTACTCTTGCAATGAGACTCGGTATGTCCAGACTTTTGACAGTTTCTACATATACGGGTATACTGTTCTTGTCTGATAGCCTAATTTTACTTTTTCCACATTCGCGGTATCCCCAGTGGTTTCATTCCGTTCTACCCCACTAACCCCTGGGTTACTATATATGGGGGGGGGGGGGGAGGTGGAGACACGTTTTCAAGTTATCCGCCCTTGATGCGTTAATATAAACAGCACATAATAATACGAAGACCGGACGTTTATATGCCCCTTTTTAAACGTGACTACAAGTGTGGTTCTCGATATTTTGCGATTTGGAATACAATTATCAATTTATTCAAACAACACGTTATTATTAGTTCGAGTAGTCATATTAAAACACACACAATTATCAATTTATTCAAATAACACTTTATTATTGGTTCGAGTAGTCATATTTAAATAAACACAATTATCAATTTATTAAAATAACACTTTATTATTGGTTCGAGTAATTATATTAAAACAAACGCAATTATCAATTTATTAAAACAACATTTTATTATTGGTCCGAGTCGTCTTTCTGTTGGGTCCGAGTCTTTTTGTATGGTCCGAGTAGTCTATTTGTTTGGGCTGAGTGGTCTATCACTTGGTCCGACTGGTCTTGGACCGAGTGATCTTTGGTCCGAGTGGTCATGGATTCTTGTCGTAATTGTACTTGAATTTCCTATGCTGTCACCCCTAATACGAAATGATATCTTCCGCAGAGTGACGTAACCATCTTCCACATTGGTATTTTTCTCTGGGGAAAAGTTTGTGATATTTCAATTTTTCAAGAGAGAACTTGTTTTCATCGTTGTGATAATTAGTTGTGCAATGGATTTTATCGAACGGGAGTTCATTACAAACACACAGGTAAGTTTATAATAACCAACGTTAAGTAGTTTGTTCATAATCGAAGAAATCCGTTTAAAATTTACGATGAATCAGACAGTAGACTGATTCTAGTCATGTTATCGTAAGACCAAGTAATACTTACATCTCCAGCCACCTGGGGTACAGTTATCTTAATTAATTTTTTATAAACCAGATCTTTTAATACCGAGAAGGCATGCTCCATTGGAATAACTGGTCCAGTACTATTAACTAACCCTGAAACAAACTAGCTTATTTAAAGGCACCAGTCATGCAGTGTATAGGTCGAAATATTGCTCGGGCAGTTCTTCTTCGAATTCTATCTGCTAAGGATTCCTTTATGTGCTCGACAATGGATATATAGGACACTCGCCCCATCCAAATTATTAAACGATTTTCCTACCCCCCCACCCCCTTCTGAACATCAGCAACAATGGGTTACCATGCTGGAAAACACCAAGATGGAACACAGGATCTGCTTAGCGAACCCATGGACATCTAATCCATTCGGCACCGATTATCCTTGACAGCCCTCCATCCACCAGCCCTCCCCTCACCAGACCTGCTGCAGCAACATGTAGAGACCAGGCTGGAAACACCAGGGTCGAACCCGAAACCTCCTGGTTAGTGATCCAGTGCCAAATACACCCTGACCCACTGTGGACTACAAGACTTACTTGAATAATGTTGACAATTCTCAGTATTTGAGGAAGGGACAGTAGTGGCATGGTCAGTATAGAGAAGACATCTACCGGATTGGATACATACATCAAAACCATTACATAATATAGTCATAGAGTTGATACACTGTGCCGCACAGTCAGATGAAACTTGGATATTTTTAATCTCCACATCAGCCTTTTCTACGGGTATCGTGCCACGGACCATTATAAAATAAACTACAGAGAAGGAAATGAAATTAAATGGGGTTTAACATCCTATTATCCTGACCGGGATAATCAAGACGGGCATATTCCACACAGTGTACTATTGGGGGAAGTTTGCCCGGACAGCGGTATTACACCCTACTCTTATATCGAATTCCAATTGCCAAGGGATCTTTTTACATGCACACCAATGTTTACACGGGATCTAGGTTTTTCGTCCCTTGCCATGCCCTCTGTTCTATATCACTGACAAGAGTGAACCACACCGGAAAATCTGGATGAACGTTCTCGGTCTAATGCATGATAGAACACCCGACCTACAGGTTACAGAGAAATAAAAACAAACAAATATTTTCTATATAATGCTGAAGCTGATGAAGAGAGAGAGAGAGTTTAACGTCCGCTTGAACCAGCTAGTCATTTCGGGACATAACATAAGGTGCTATTTTCTTTCAATAATTTGCGTGTAGCGGTATTTTAGAGAGAGAGCTTACGATTTAACGCACACGCGTTAAACTATTCGGTCCGCCCCCCCCCCCTATCGCATAGATATTTTAATGGCATTAACTCGTACTTACATGCATAATAGGGATTTCCCAGTAGAGTAGCAGTTAAAAATACCGTGTTCAGACCATAATCTATTTCTAATTCAGAATATCGGAGTGGTGATATACCAGTATTAGAAGCTAAGGCCAATACAGCTTCTCGTTTAAATAAATATTGTCCTAGTTCCAGGTAGGGATGGAAAGGCTCTACAACGATAAATATCAAAGCATTCATACCCATAACAAAAATATCAAAGGATCATTGTAACATGCTTAAGGATGAACCTTGCGTTTTGATTGGTCAATTAGACACTGTCGATTGGACAATAACACCCCTCTGTTCTAGTAATTTCTGTAAAATAGCATGTTACAATGTCGATAAACACTTCCTGTTTCGCATTTAGAGGGGTGTTATTGTCCAATAGACATGTCCTGAGATTTTACATTAGAACCCGCGACGCTAACGCGTCTTAGGCTCTATTGATCTTAGGAAGTGTTTATCTCCTAAATATCAATTACAAAATTATCAGGGGCCGGTTGCTCAAAGCTCCGTTAACGTTTAACGACTCGTTAACATGGAGTTTGTGGATCGTTGTCTTTAACAGAGAAAAAGTCTGTGGCTGGAAGCCCCGTTAACTTTAACATGTCGTTAACTTGCCGTTATATTTAACGGAGGTGTTGGGCTCCGTTATCTATATTAGTTGACTGTCAGTCGCAATATTCCCTTAGCAAAAAGTCATAGATTACCAGTATAATTTTCTATAGAACATTCTAGGGGGCTGAGCGATGTGGAGCTACTCCATTTTCTATCGGATAAAATTCTATAGTATTCTACAGAATTTTGGAGGCCTGTATGAAATAAAAGCCCCTAAATATTCTAAAGTTTCTGTAGTGTAAATCCCATAATTTTTCCTACAGATTTATGCTAAAATTTCTATAGTTTTTTTTTATAGTGTTTTCTGTAGTAAATTCTAAAGTTTATCATTTTGTCTTTAATCAAGTTTTGTGAACAGACTGAACAGTTGTCCCACTGTCTTCAGTTTCTTGTTAATATACTAACTTCTATGAAGTTGTTATACATGTACATTGAATTTAAAAATTTAAAATTTAGTCAATGATTTTCTCTTGGATTAACTTTAATCAGTCCGTTAGCTAACGGATAATGAAATTGACTTTCCAGTAACAGAAATTTAACGGGCCGTTAACATACGACACGTTAGAAAGACAACGATCATACAGAGTTTAAGGGATCATTAAAACAACTGAGTTTTGAGCAACCGGCCCCAGATCATTAGTACCGATCAAAAAAAATCAATTAAAAAATATTGATCAGAAAATTATTGGATCATTTGTATTGGTTCAGAAAATACCAGAGCAATAGCATCGATCAAAAAGTTATCAGATAATTATAATCTATTACAATACTATCACATCATTAGTATCAATCACAGACATATCAGATCAAAATCAAAATTATCGATTACAAAAATTATCAGAACATTAGTATTGATTACAAAAATATCAGATCAATAGAATGATCAGATCAATAGAATCGATTACAATATCAGATTATTGGTATTTATTACGACATTAATGCAGAGAGACAGAGAGAGAGAGAGAGAGAGAGAGAGAGAGAGAGAGGGGGAGAGAGAGAGTTTAACTTACGGTTAAAGATCATCATAAAGCGATGCCGCTGATTATCATTGTAACATGGTTTAATATCAAACTTTGATAATGGCACATGTTCATCGTTAAAATTATAGAAATTATACGTCAGATATAAATCATTCTGAAATAAAGAAAAAAGATCCATAACAATTGAGAAGTTAAGAGAGTGAGAGAGAGGAAAATGAAGTTTAACATCTCTTATCGTTTTCTCTAATCAGTTATACTTGAAAACGATAAGAGAATACTTGTCGAAACGTTGTGCTTTATTTGTATAAACCAGTGATTGTTTTCTATATAAATTGTGTTGTGTTTTTAATGTACTCGATCGCTAAATGTCACTGAAGGATTGCATCTAGTATTATTGTTAAAATGTGATTTGTATTACTGTATGACATACCTCTGATGTTACAACATTCAGCATGACTGGTTGATCACGAGTGATATCTGTGCTTGGATTAGACACCGTTGACAGGCGATCCTGGATACACAAAGAAATGAAATGAAATGAAATGGGGTTTAACGTCCTACTGTTCTGCTCCTAAACTGGGCTAATGAAGACGGGCATACGCCATAAAGTGTGCTATGAGGGAAATGTTGCCCAGACAGCGGCACTACGGCCTACTCTTATATCGAATTCCAACTGCCAAGGGATCTTTTACGTGCACGCCAATGTGTACACGGGACCTCGGTTTTTCGTCCCATCCGAACGACTAGACAGCTTTCCTTGTCAGCCCCTCCGTCCTGCATCACTGACAAGGGAGAACCACGCCGGAAAATCTGGATGAACTTTCTCGGCCAATGCAGGGATCGAACACCCGACCTCCAGGCTAGCGAGCTAGCGTCTTACCCACTTAGCCACGTGATCCCCGATACACAAAGAAGATAAGAGGTATTTTTAATATTCAAATCAACCAATATTTTGCAAATATCTCCATTATTTCAAAAATAATATTACAAAATGTATATCGCTATAGGGATAACTGAATTACCATGGATAAAAATAATAATGGGCTGAGTTTGAGTTTGTTCTTTATTCTAAAAAATGTTTAAAATAAATAAAAGATTCTCACCGATTGAAAGAAAAATTGGAATCTAGCTCTAGTTGTTGTGTTAGAACCTGGAGGTAAAAACGTATCTACTGTCGCTTCAAACACATTACATAATATACCACGAACTGTTCTCTATATATAGAAACATATATCACATTACATAATATACCACGAACTGTTCTCTATATATAGAAACATATATCACATTACATAATATACCACGAACTGTTCTCTATATATAGAAACATATATCACATTACATAATATACCACGAACTGTTCTCTATATATAGAAACATATATCACATTACATAATATACTACGAACTGTTCTTTATATAATAAAGAACATAAAGAACATAGAAACTTACTTGCCCAGCATATTTATAATCTGTATTCAATCCAAACAATTCCAGTGGAGTTTTCATCTTAACAATGTAAGCCCCATCAAAATCTTGGACCTTTTTGTTAACTTCGCTGTCAAAGTCTCGTCCTCCCCTTGGGTTAATCCCCCCGACGGTGCAGTTTAACAAAATTCGATCTATATTATAAGCTATGCCTGCAATATAAATAAATGAATTGAAATTAACGTCCTTTGGTCTGTCCCAATTTGGCTAATGAAGACGGCCTACTCTTATATCAAATTCCAACTGCCATGGGATCTATTACGTGTACGCCAATGTCTACACGGGACCTCGTTTTTCGTCCCATACCAACGACTAGACAGTTGCCCCTGTCAGGACCTCCGTCCTGCACCACTGAAAAGGGGGAAACCACACGGGCCCCCGAACTATAAATAAAGTCCTGAGTAAAGTTTTATATTCCAACCAAGGCCATTCCAAAACAGAAATATTCTGGTACTCAGACAATCTTTACCCAAAAATGGATGAAGTGGGGGTGTGGGGGGGGGGGGCGATTTTGTGTTTTTATTTTGTCAAAGGATCACTACTGGGCGAAATAGCTTCTCATAAAAATCACATTTAAGGCAATGGGATACCATGCGGTCTACTCTTATATACGCCATACAATGTGATAAGAGAGACATTTTGCCCTACCCCGCCCTACCAAGGAATACCATGCGGTCTACTCTTATATACGCCATACAATGTGATATGAGAGACACTTTGCCCTACCAAGGGTTATTTTACGTGCACACCAATGTATACACGGGATCTTCCCTTCCGAACGACCATAAGTTGTTCCCCGAGACACCCTCTATCGCACACCACGGCCAACACCGGGATCGAACACGGGACCCCCAGTTCAAAGAGCCAACGTCTTACTCACTGAGCCACCGTGCCCCCCCCCCCCCCCCTATAGAAGAGACATTTACCTGTGTTGTAATCATGTATTACCGTCTGTGAAAAAGTTGAGTAATATGGAGGAACAGGATTAGGTACTCTGTAGTCGAAACGGACCAACTTATAAGAATTATCATAATATATCTACAAAACAAATTTAAAATATGTATAAAATATAGTTATACAAAAAAATATGCCACATTGGCACGTGGTATTTTTATGAATGAATGCAGTGAAGATTAATGGCCTACTGTTCTGCTCCGACCGGGCTAATGAAGACGGGCATACATCATACAGTGTGCTATGAGGGAAATTAGGCCAGGGGAGCGAACAGTTAAAGTTCAGAAGTTAGTAGAAATTTAATAGAAATTGACTTGTTCAAATATAATCTTTGAGTGGCATTTAGCCATCTGGAAACACATTA